CTAGTACCTCGCTATGCAAGGGTTTGCATGCAGCAGTTTTGAGTATTTTCACAAAATATTCACACTTCTTGGAGCGGCTTGCTCAATGGAAAGGGACCTGCGTACAACACTTTCGCCTTTTGGAACTTCCCCACGGCGCCGCCCTCGAGTTAGCCCGAATACCAATCTGGATAATTTCGTTGAGACAACCTCTGCCACTGGGCTATAATGCATTAGAATATCTGGATTTTGTTACCTTATGCAGGCTTCTAGGTAGCGGCCCACTTTCAGGACGGCAAGTAATGACGAAAACCGACTATTACGAGGTCCTCGGAGTAACCAGACAAGACTCCGAGGAAGAGATACGCAAGGCCTTTCGCAGAAAGGCCATGGAGTACCACCCGGACCGCAACAAGGAACCCGATGCAGAGGAAAAATTTAAGGAAATTAACGAGGCTTACCAAGTATTGAGCGACTCTTCCAAGAGGGCCCAATACGACCGGTTCGGTCACGCCGGGGCAGATGGAGGAGGTTTTGACCGCCCCTTCGACGGATTTGACGTCTTCGGTGGCTTCGGAGATATCTTTGACTCTTTCTTTGGCGACGCGGGTGGACGCCGTAGCCGAGCACCCCAGCGCGGCAGCGACCTGCAGCAACGGGTCAACCTCACATTCCAGGAGGCGGCTTTCGGCGTTGAGCGAGAGATCGAAGTTTCAAGAGTTGAAATCTGCCACAATTGCTCCGGGGCTGGAAACGAACCCGGAACACCGGTCAACACTTGCGGAACATGCGGTGGCAATGGACAAGTACGCCGCACTCAACGCAGTCTTTTTGGCCAATTTGCCCAAGTGACGACTTGCCCAACGTGCCAGGGCAAAGGCAGCACAATTGAGAGTCCATGCGCCATCTGCCGCGGCGTGGGAATGGAACGCCGCAATCGTAAGACGCTCGTCAACATTCCGGGAGGCATACAAGGAGGCATGCAGGTGCGTTTGACGGGCGAGGGAAACGTTGGCGCAAATGGCGGGCCTCCTGGCAATTTGTACATTGAGGTTAGTGTAGCGAGGCACGACGATTTTGAAGAGAGATTAACACTGACCTCTTTAATTCATGTGCTTTAACTTGCGGAAGCGCGCTGGGCGTGGAAAAGGAAATCCCCACACTGGAAGGGATACTGTTCCGCTGAAAATACCCCAGGGCACCCAGCCTGGCGGCCAGTTTCGCATTCCGGGAAGGGGTATCTCGCATATTAACAGCGGTCGGAAGGGAGACCTCCGGGTATTCGTTGACATTCAAGTACCGCAAAAGCTCACCGGCAAGCAGCGAAGACTCCTGGAAGAGTTTGCCAAGTCATCGACCCTGATTTCGGGGAGAAAGACATCGGCGAACCTGAGGAAGGGTTCGTGGAAAGTGAAGAAGGCATCGCCTTGGATCAGGAAGAGGACAGGAACTCCAAGGAGAAGGGTATATTTGACCGCATAAAGGATGTCTAATGACTATACATTGATAGTAGTGGCGCAAATCAGTTGAGACGGCGAAATCCCCGTCGCCAGATTACAGGTAGTCTAGTTATTGCACCCAAGTGCCACAATGCAAGAACCCGGCAGGCTTCGAGCCGGGTTTTTTGATGGAGCAGCCTACCGTTTATGTGGCAAGAAGTTAGTATTAGCGTCCCATTCGAATATGTAGAGCCGATATCTTACCTGTTTGACCGCTACGGGTACGGATTGTCCATGGAAGACGATGGGCCAGAACTGATCAAGCTACGAACCTACCTGCCCAGCATGGCGCGACAACGTTTCTCACATATTGAGGTTGGTGTCAAACTGGCCGGCATCCTGCAACCCCTGGGTGAACTTACCGTAACCTCGCTCGACAACGACGCCGACTGGCAAAATTCCTGGAAGGAGCATTTTACGCTGCTCCGCATAGGTAAACGCCTGGTAGTCAAGCCTTCGTGGATAGACTACGTCACCGAAGAGAATGATGTCCTGATTGAATTGGACCCAGGGCTGGCTTTTGGTACCGGCTACCACCCCACTACCTATACGTGTCTTGAGTCGATGGAACAGCTGGTAAGGCCGGGGTTCATGGTCTTGGACTTGGGCTGCGGTTCCGGAATACTAACGATAGCTGCAGTAAAGTTAGGAGCCGCAGGAGTAGTCGCCCTGGACATCGACCCACAGGCGGTGCAGGCTTCGCGTCAGAACTTCCGCCGCACGGGCATAAAGAATAAAGTGCAACTTGATCAGGGAAGCGTGCCGCATCGATTGGCCCCTGCAGGCAGCTTCGACCTGGCAGTAGCGAATATTTCTTCGAGGGGAATCCGGGAAAGGGCCCGGGATATCTTGCCCGCGCTGAAACCGGGAGGGACCCTGATTGCCTCTGGAATCATTGACGAGCAGCAAGCAGATACCGAGGAAGCACTGCTAGAAGCTGGATACACTAGCATCAAAATCTGGCCCAGGGAAGATTGGGTAAGTATCACATGTAAACCGGGATGACCAACCGGGGCTGTCAAACTTAATTCAGGTACAAATTGGTGCTATACTCTGGATTAACGTCGTATAAAGAATGCCATGGAAGAAGTCAATCTAAATCGTTATGAACTTACCGGTGTGCTGGGCAGTGGAGCTGACTATGAAGTCCGCTCGGCCGTTGATCACGAGACTGGTTCCCAAGTGGTTATAAAACGGCCAGTTCCGCAAATGATTTCTCGCCGCATGCACGGTTCCATAGAAGAGCGGACAAAGCGAACCATACAGTTGCATGAGGAATTGGCCAACGACATTCCAGAAGTTTGCCCGATGTTGGGCTACTCGGACCGATCCAATCACGACGATTTTTTCGGAGACTCTCTGGAGCAAGAGTATCTTGTAACGGTCTCTGAACGGGCCACTGGTATACCCCTGGTTGGAGACCCACGAGCGAGAATCCTGCGAGTACCAATCGGTTTAGGCCAAAACCTGTTTTGTCTCTTTCCTCTCTGCTACATAGATACGAATGATCCTTTTCCGGTACAACGGCAGCTATTGCAGGCGGAGGAGACCTTCCACAGATCCGGGTACGTGTTGCTGGACATGGGACCTCAAAATGTCTTCTTTCAACCAGGTACCGGACGCATCTCCATCATAGATCCCGGGGCCCTTCTGACCGGTGAAAACGACCGAACCCCGGTGGGACGTGGCCCACAAGACATCCATGACTTCTATCTGGAAATGCTCAAGTTTTATACGACCTTCCAGGCACCGCCCGGAGACCAAGTGGGATACCGAGACCCTTGCAATTTGCGCCCGGTGGTTAACTTCGAGCAGGAACTCACCGAAATGGCTCGAAGCCTGACCTCGGAGGCAGACCTCCCGGAACAGGTCAGAGACTTGGGCCTTTCGTTAATTGGCAAGGTTCGGGAACGCGGGTACGGGGCCTTTGCCGAATTCAGCCAGGATCTTTTGAGTTTCCTGAATGGCCTTCGGACACGTAACCAAGTCCTGCCCAACTTTTACGAGGCTCGGCAGGCTTGGCACGAAGCCTTGCAATTGTTGCGAGAAGACCATTGGAAGAAATATGCCTTCGATGCGGACTTGGAACTAAGCTCGCTAAGTGATCGCTAGCTTGGCTTTTGAGAAAATTCGCAAGAAAATTCCTTAGTCAGAGGGAGCAAAATGGCTAACGTCAGCCTTGCCAGTGTTGTAGCAACTCTTTACGACAATACCACTCACAGTGAAGATTCTTACTTAATTCGAGACCTGGGCAATGGGCTCTTTCTTGACGCGGTAATGGATGGCGTAACCGGACACGGTGGTGAAGAAGCCAGTCAATCAGTAGCTCAGGCGCTTGAGGCAGTGTCCATAACCTCGCCGGACGACATTGTCACAGTCTTGGAAGAGCAAAACGCCGACTTTTTCCAGGTAGGTGGGGGAAGGTTTCTTCTCACCACTGTGTCTGTTGCATTGTTTATGGGTGGTCCACTTTACATTATCAGTGCCGGCGACAGCCCCATATTCCATATCAGGGGAGAAGAATGCAAACAACTTTCCGGCCGCATTGGTGGCATACTCCGAATGGGTACTGCCAAGGCAATTGGGGCTGGAGAGGATCTGGTACTACAAAGGACCGAAGTCGCACTGGAATCCGGCGACCGGCTGGTGACCGCATCCGACGGAGTAACTGACAACGTCAATATGGCAGAGTTGGCCGAATTCATACGCAACGCTGAAACTCCGGAGGCAGCTTCCACGGCGATCAAGCAGGCCATCGACGACAGGTTGGAACGAGGCATTACGCCTGAACTATTGGGGGGAAGGTTCCGACACGACGACCAGACCGGCATTTTCCGGTTCTTTTAGCTTGAGTTCGTACACTCAGTTATTGGTTTAAATGCCGTGGCCCTCGCGGACAATTGGTCTTGGAATGCTGGTTTTCGAGTTTCTTGTTAGTAGGTTGCATAGCTGGTAAAATTTTCAGATGTACCCAGAATGGGTGTTTCCGTTGAACGGGGTATGGTGGAGGAGTTTATTTCGGGGCGACAGAATTTCCCAAAAGAAGTCATCAACAAAACTGTCGACTTCATCAGGTTTTCTGGTGGAAGAAGAGTCAGTCTAGGCAAATCTGAAACTTGGTGCCGCTGAAAGTAGCGGAGGGGGAAACGCAACCGTGAAGATCGCCATGGTTTCTCCCTACGACTTCACCTGGCCTGGGGGCGTAACTGCCCATGTATCCCAGCTGGCCCAGGAGCTATCACACAACGGACACCAAGTCAAAGTTTTGGCACCCCATTCACCGGCCCGGGAATGCGTTAAAGTAGATAACTTCGTCCCCATGGGCCGCTCAGTTCCTGTCCCCAGTGGCGGGTCTATCGCTCGGGTCTCCCTGTCGTGGTGGCTATATCGCAGGGTACGGGAGATTCTGGAGCAAGAGTGTTTCGACATCGTTCATCTGCACGAACCGCTGGCCCCGGTGCTACCTCTTTGCTTCCTCGAGTGCTCAAATACCGTTAATGTTGGGACATTCCACGCTTACTACAGCCGGCAGCACCTCTATCGATTCAGCCAGCCTATAATCAAGCGCTGGCACCAGCGCCTGCACGGCGGCATTGCAGTTTCTCCCGCCGCCCACAACTATGTCCATAACTTTTTCCCTCGCGACTATCGAATTATTCCCAATGGGATAGACGTAGATCATTTCGCCAGTAATGCGGTGCCTTGGCCTCAATTTCAGGACGGAAAGACGAACATCCTCTTCGTGGGTAGACTGGAAAAGCGGAAGGGGTTGAAGTACTTGTTGGAAGCTTATAGCCGTTTGAAATGGGAGTACCCCAACACCAGGCTGATAGTGGTAGGGCCGGGGAACCTGGATAAGGACTCTCACCAAATCTTGAGCGCCCGCAACCCTCAAGATGTTGTCCTGGTGGGAGGCGTGCCCTACCATGATTTGCCGCGCTACTATGCTTCGGCCCACATCTATTGTTCACCGGCCACAGGACAAGAGAGCTTTGGTATAGTTCTTCTGGAAGCCATGGCATGCAGCAAACCTATCGTAGCATCCGCTATTGAGGGATACATGGGAATCATCAAGGACGGAGAACAAGGGCTTCTCGTCCCCCCACGCGATTCAGAAGCTTTGGCTGAGACGCTGGCCGTTTTGATAGAAGACTGTCAATATGCGACCAAGTTGGGACAAGCAGGCCGCAAGACGGTAGAACAATTCCGATGGAACGCGGTTGCCCAACAGGTGGAAAAATACTATCTTGATTGCATAGCGGAGACCAATGTCCTTACCCGGTAGAGAAGAATTCAGGCAAGCTCTGTCCAAATACATTGAGATTCCGGGCGCCAAGGCTTTCCAAGCTGTGGGCTTTAGCCCAAATGCGATTACCCTGTTGGGTTTTGCTATTTGCGTCGCATCTGCATATGCCGTAAGTAATGGCTGGCTGCTGGCGGGGGGAATAGTTTTCCTGGTTGGCGGGGGTCTGGATCTCTTTGATGGGGCCCTTGCCCGCATGTCAGGCAGGGCCAGTTCCTTTGGGGCGCTCATGGACTCGGTTTTCGACCGATTGGGCGAGGCTGCCCTTTTTGTAGGCATCGGACTTTATGCGCTGCAGGCCGGGCTACCGGATAATTTCTTGCGTCTCTACGTGGTAATTCTCCTCTTGGCACTAATCTTTTCCCAGGGAGTGAGCTATCTGCGTGCGAGAGGCGAAGGTCTGGGCGTTTTTACCCGTGCCGGAGTTATGACCCGTACGGAGAGAGTGGTAATTTTGGGCGTGGGCCTTCTTGTCGACGGGCTTACTCCTTTTCAACTGATGCCCTGGGTCCTGTTAGCCATCGCCGTCGTCTCCTGTTTTACCCTCTTCCAACGTATGTGGACTATACGGGGCATACTGGAAAAGGGTAGCTAACCTGTTCTTCAGTGTGTAAACTGATTTAACCTTGGGGAGAGGTCCTTTTCCAGTTCAACCTGGCAGACCTCCGACTTTAGCTAGATCTCAAACCCGAGCGAAGTTAGTTTCTGAGGTCTAATTTTGTCCGGGAGTAGCCAACTTGACCCAGCCTGCCGCAATTTCCCCCCAACAAAGGAACCAGTTGAGGCGCACCTTTCGGAAGGATTTAAAGGCGCCGGTTAGACTTCGTTTTTTCACCCGGCTTCCGTCGCCAATCGCCATACCGGGGCGCGACTGCCCCACCTGTGCCCAGGCCGAGCAATTGTTGCAAGAAGTTGCCGGAGCCTCCCCAAAGATCGAACTCATAACGCATGACTTCTACCCGACCCCGAAACGGCCAAAGAGCTAAAGGTCGAACGTCTTCCAGCAATCTTGATGGGCGATGACGAGCCGCCGAGAATGAAGTTTTACGGCATACCTTTGGGCCACCAAATGGCTGTAATTGTGGAAACGATTCGTTCGCTGTCCCGAGGAGTTAGTCCGCTGGCGAATGACACTCGCAGAAATCTTAGGCAGGTAAACCGACCGACCCACATTCAGGTAGTTGTCAGTCCGGAAGACCAAACCAGCGCCGAGACGGCGTATACAATCTTCGCTGCGACGCGGGAAAACCGGAACATTTCAGCTGATGCCATTCAAATCAGGGATTACCCGTCTCTGGCCCGCAGTTTGGGAGTACAATCCACACCGTTGATATTGATCAACGACTTATACCGGATGACCGGGTCCGTTACTGAAACTGAGCTTGTGAACCAACTTTTGGTTGCCGGCGCCGGGCAGCAGCCCGGCTGAGAGTTTCTCCTTAAAGGCACGTAATGCCTTACATCTTTCGGTTGGAGAGGATGAATTGCCCCACGACATTAGAGGAGACATGAACGGACAGGGATTGAGGGTCGCCGTGGTTGTGGCCCGTTTTAATGAATTTGTTACACGCCAGTTGCTGAACGGTGCACTCGATACCTTGAGCCGACACGGCGTTCGCGAAGAAGACATCGGTGTAGCGTGGGTTCCCGGTTCCTTCGAACTTCCCGTAGTAGCCAAGACACTGGCTCAAACGGGGCGCTACGATTCAGTTATCTGTCTTGGCGCAGTAATTCGGGGCGAGACCGACCACTACGAAATGGTTGCAGGTCAGTCTGCCGGCGGCATAGCATCCGTGGGCCTGGAAACCGGCGTTCCCACTATATTCGGCGTATTGACTGCGGAAAACATGGACCAGGCCATTAACCGTGCGGGAGGAAAGTCCGGAAACATTGGCAGCAACTCCGCGACCGCCGCAGTGGAAACCGCTCGCCTGGTTCAATCCATCAAAACTGGCTAGCCTCAGGGAGAAAGTTAATGAAGTTCGGCGTAACCGTTCCCAATAACTGGGGAATAGAGAATGTTAACGACGCCCTTGCCTTTGGGCCCCTGGCCGAGGAGCTAGGCTATGACTCGGTGTGGGTCATGGACCACTTATTCAACAACGGCTATATTCGGGAGCGGCTGGACGACAAGCCCTATTACCATCCGCTGGCCACTTTATCGTACCTGTCCGCCACCACCAACAGGGTGCTTTTGGGGACTTCGGTATTGGTATTGCCATACCATAACCCGATTGAGCTGGCCAAATACACTGCTACCCTCGACCAGATGTCCGGCGGGCGTGTGACCCTGGGTGTTGGGGTGGGCGCAATGACCGAAGAGTTCGAAGCCCTCGGAATTCCCATGTCCGAACGAGGCTCTTTGACCAACGAATGCATCCGAATAATGAAGGAACTGTGGACAAACCAGGCTCCCAGCTACCACAGCCATCGGTGGAATTTCGATGAATTGCGATTTTCCCCCAAACCGGTTCAACAGCCGCACATACCCCTGTGGATTGGCGGCTCTAGCCCCGGGGCGTTGCGCCGGGCAGCGCGCCTTGGAGATGGCTGGCATCCTTCCGGAGCAACTCCTGAGGACTACGCTGCTGGCAAGGAGCGAATCATTGCCTTGGCAGAGGAGGCCGGTCGTGATCCCGATGTGCTTACCTGGTCTGCCCGGGTAGAAGTGGAGGCTACACCGGGACCTTCGAGCGACAGGGCTGCCAGCCGTGCCCGAATCCCGGGCCACGACCTTGAACAAACCGCCCTTTCAATTGCAGCATATAGAGACGCCGGCGTGGAACACCTGGTGTTGGCCCTGAACACTGGGGACGTGGACCGAATACGTTCTCTGATGGAGTCGTTGGCTTCTGAATCAATTCCCCAGTTCCGCTAATCGATCCCGTTGGGGGCCCGCATATGCGGACTAGGGGACAGCGTCCTATTCGGTTGAATTTTCTTCAGCATCTTTCTCCTTGGCCTTTTCCCGCTCCCGCCAATGTGCTTCGTGCTGGCTGAGTTCTGCCAAGTCACTCAAAAGGCCCTGCATTTCACCACTACCCGCAGCTTGACTACCGTAGTGGCTGGACTGAAATCCCCCCACTATCCGGTCCACGGGAGGGGCTGGTAATTCCTCCGGAACGTCGGATTGATGCTCCCGGGGGGTTTGCCCTTCGCCTTTCGGATGACCCATGTTGTCGGAAATTCTGAGGAAACGGTGATACACCTCCCTGGGATTCTCCGGATCTGGTTCACGACTGTTTCCCTCTGTAGCCCTCTGCACCAGATTGTTCCACCAGCCGTCAACCAGGCCTGCCAAGTCGGCATTTGCCTTGCCCCAGGTAAATAGAGACTCACGGACTTCCTGGACATCCGATGAAAACCTGAACAACCGTCGGAAGCGAAACACCCTGAAGAGAATCCAGCCAATCAGAGTGACCGCTAAAAGAAAAACAGACACCTTCAAAAGGGTATATACCCACCCAGGCAGGCCAGACCCTTCAACGTCTTCCAGTTCTTCGTGGAATCGCCTTAGATGCTCCTGGGCTTCATTTAGGCCGCTTAAGTCCCCGCCACCCATGATCGTGGTCAACCACACTCCGAAGAACACCAAGGCCTCGGCAATGTAGCCAAGTCCCAGGAGGATGGGCCTTAGAATCCACTCGCCTACCCTGCCAATCAGCTTCAAATATTGCTCGGGTAACATCGTCCAGTCCGCCCAACCCCAACCCCGAAATAACTAGAGCCAGCAACAGGACCGCCCCTACCGCCGCACCAATGGGAATAATCCATTCACGGGACACCGCCTGCAGGTCGCCAGACTCGGAAGACAAGCGGGCCAGAGCCAGGCCTGCCAAGCCCACGGCAAAGAAACCCAACACAATGAAGCCACCCACAATCTTCTCAGAAACCATGCTGTCGATGACTACTGCGGCGACCAACACCACTAAAGACCACTGGAATGCGGAGCGGACTGTATCCAGGGTTACTTCGTCGTGGGCGAGGCTGGTTCCCCTCCACCAAAGGGTCACCAGGAAAACAAACGTCATGATCAGGGCAAAGGCGGTTTGAAGGTCACCGTAGATTATCTTGCCAACAGGGAGGAACCCCAGACCAGTGTTCAAACTGGCCAGCACCAGGATGGAGAGGGCACTAACTACAAGCCCTATCACGCCTCTTAAATTCAGCGTGAACCGGATAGTCTGAATATAGAGCGATAGGAGAAACGACCAGAGCAGCGCTAGAAAAACGAGCCACAAGGGAAGCCTGGCGCCCGCAGCATTACTTAATGCGGCAAATACGGAGATCGCCAGGAATGCCCCGACTGCTTCGAGATAAAGCGCTGTACCAGTAACTGCACTAGCTCGCCAGAACTGGCTCATCCGGCTCCTTTTCCTCTTCTTCCAGGGCTTCTAAAGCGCGGCCTAGAGAGTAGACAGGAACACCCGTCAAGCGCATCTGAGGGCCACCATCACCTGAAAAGAGCACAATCACCTTGTAGCCCCTCGACTGCATCTCCTCAATTTCATTCGCCAGAGCCCGCGTTATGACCGAAGAAATCATAATTACCGTAGCTCCTGCCGGCAATGACGATCGCTCTTGTTGCAAAACATCAGTCAAGGAGATAACCGAGTAAGGTCCCGCCATGGCAAGGGACTCAAGCACCAAGCCCAATTGTAACGAAGAACTCCCGAATGGCACGCTGAGCCACTTACCGGAATAGACCGCAACGCCGTTGCTGATCAGGCCGTACTCGTAACCAGCGGCGGCACAGTGATTGGCCACGGATGCTGCTATAGTCACCGCTCTCTCAAACAAGCGTCGGTTGGTTCCCTGCCAGGCAAACTCCCCGGTCGTCGCATTCAATGCGATCAAGACGTTCAATGAAACGACGGGCTCAAATACTTTGGTCTGCAAGTGCGACCTGCGAGCAGTAGCCTTCCAGTCTATGTGTTTCATTGGGTCCTGGGGTTGGTAGTCGCGCAACCCGAAAAACCTGCTGGGATCCTGATATATGGGGCGCGGCCCACTAACATCTCCCAGAGGATGCTCCGACGGCATCAGCAATTCATTCAAATCGATAATTTTTGGATACACCAGGATATGGGCCACTCCTTCGATCCGTGTTTCCGCAGACGTAAACCCGAATATATCTCCGCTGCGCAGCTTGACTGGCCCTATCCGGTGGTAGCCTCGGGCCAGGCACCGAAGGTTATACTTCCACGTAACCTGCTGGTAGGGCAAAAGGGAGGTAGTGATGCGGTGCTCCCGGTCGACCTCAAGACCCGTCCCGCGGACCGTTCCGCCCGGCAAATCCAGTTCTCGAGGAAACGCATCCTGGATATCGACCCAGACCAGCGGGACCACCTTGTCGTTGACCAACGTCACCGAATATTCAACCGAGTCCCCCACAAAAGCTCGACCTCTCCCCAAGCTTCTTGAGTGGCTTACTTTCTTGAAGGCGAATCGGTCCCAGAATTTGGCCAGAACCCAGACAATGATCACCAACGAGCCAACAATCAACAGCAATCCCTGGCTGGCAACAAGCCCAATGAAGAGCAGGACCGCGCTGGCGAAAAGCCAAAAGTCGTTAAGCATCTTTCCCTGCGAGGGTATTACGGGTGAACTATACCGGTACGGTTACCGATTCGAGGACTTCCTTGATAATGCCATCCGGGGTTCGTTCCCTCAGTCGTGCCTGCGACTTGAGAATTACTCGATGGCTGAGGGCATAAGGGGCCAATTGTTTGATCTCGTCCGGAGTTACGTACTCTCTTCCTCGTATAGCAGCCAAGGCCTGGCTGCATCGGTACATACCCATGGTGGCTCGAGGACTGGCGCCAAGTTCGACCTCCGGATGTTGTCGAGTAGCCTGAACAATACGCACTGTATAATTTCGAAGCACCGGGTCAACGTAAACCTGCCGGGCCAAAGCCTGATATTCAAGAATTTCGGGCCCGCTGGCCACTGGCTCTATTTGGGCCAATGGGTCAGATGTCTCGAATCGAAGTAACATTTCCTCTTCTTGCTCTTCGTCGGGGTAGCCTAAATGCAACCGAAGCAGGAAACGGTCCAGTTGTGCTTCAGGGAGAGGGAAAGTACCTTCAAGCTCAATGGGGTTCTGGGTCGCAATTACCAAGAAAGGGGCCGGCAAGGGAATGGTGACTTCATCAATTGTCAGTTGCCGCTCGCCCATACCTTCCAAGAGGGCGGACTGGGTGCGGGGGGTAGCCCGGTTAATTTCATCTGCCAGGACAACCTGCGCAATTATGGGGCCGGCCCGGAATTCAAATTCGCCGCTCTTCTGGTTGTAGTAATTTATGCCGGTAATGTCTGAAGGCATCAGATCCGGAGTAAACTGAATCCTCCTGAAGACACAGTCCAAGGAACCAGCCAATGCTCGTGCCAGCGTGGTCTTACCAATGCCAGGCACGTCTTCTACCAGAATATGTCCACCACTCAACACCGCAGCCAGTGTGAGTTCCACCACTTCTTCTTTCCCCACCAGCACCCGGCCGATATTTTCCTTGACCTTGTTCGCCGCATCCGATACGCGGGCTACCATCTCTGCGCTGATTGTAGTTGTCACTCTAAAATTGACCCTCAGGCACCTGCGCCGTTTTCGGATTCCACCTGTTTCAGGTAATCTTCAGCTTCCCTCAAATCTTTGAACGAATCTACGCTGCGCCAGAAGTCCCGGGACTTGTAAGCAGAAATGCGACCATCCTGGGCCAATGCTGGAAAAGTCAGGACTTCGTGGTCGCCTAATTCTGGCATTAAGGGGCCAATAGCCCGGGTCAAAGACATACACACCGGCATTAATCCAATGAGGTAATTCCACCTTCTCCCTAAAGCCCACAACGTCGTTCTCTTCGTCCATGTCTACCAGTCCGTAAGGACTCACCATGGGTACCACCATGATGGTGGACAGGAGGTCGGGAGATGCTTCTTTTCGCGAAAGGTGGTGATTCAGAACTTCGTTAGGGTCCTGGCCGGTGATTATGTCACCATTCAGGACAATAACCGTGTCTTCTTCTTCGGGGACATGGGCCAGACCGGTGCGAATAGCGCCGCCTCTGCCGAGTGGGCTTGTCTCCACACTATATACGGGTTTTATCCCATGGCTGAACCCGTCGCCAAAGTACTCCCGAACCATCTCCCAAACGGTAGCCAACCAGGAATATGACATGGGTAACCCCCGCTCGCTTCAGCCATTCAACCTGGTACCAGAGAATTGGCTTGCCGTTCAATGGCGCCAATGGCTTTGGGAGAGAGTCGGTCAGAGGCCTTAGCCTCTCACCTTTTCCGCCGGCCAAAATCAATGCATACATTTAGGGGTCTCTCTTCATTCCAGGGAATTTTTAGGTCAACGGCGAGCAGGACTGAGACCAGCACTGCAAGACAACAGTAATATACCTTTGGGCCCTTGGCTGGTCAACGTACGCCTATCCAGTCCTGAGTGGCTTTGGGGAGGATTCAGGTCAAGAGATTCCTCCATTTGCCTGCTCCGTTAGCACGGCCGGCACCGTTTCATCGCACACGGCAGTCCAGAACAACGATGTGTGCTCTCAATAGGAATATAACGTCCTGGGCCAGAAACTTCAAAAGTCACTGCTCACACATTGGTCTATAATTGATTTAGCGTACCAATACTCAATAGCGAATCGCCTAAAATTACCTGGAGGGGCCTAAGGGAATGGCAACACAGGACTCATCGGAACATAACTACACCATGGGTTACAGCAACGAATTTTTGCAGTTGCTCGACCGCCGCAATGCTGCCAACAGCGCAGCATATCTACTGCCATTTCTCGAGCCGGGAATGAGACTGTTGGACCTGGGCTGCGGACCGGGAACCATTACGGTGGGGTTGGCCATCGCCGTGAGCCCCGGAGAAGTGCACGGCGTCGATATGGAAGAGTCACAAATTGCCCTTGCCAGGGCAGCTGCGGAATCAGGCAACCATTCCAACGTAACCTTTCATGTAGGTGACGCTCTGTCGCTGCCTTTTGAAGATGGCTTTTTTGACGTAGTCCACAGCCACGCCGTCATAATGCACATACCTGACACCCAAGGAGTGCTAACGGAAGTAAAAAGAGTACTGAAGCCCGAAGGCATCTTTGCCAGCCGGGACTTGATCGGAGAATCCAGCTTCCTGGAACCCGGAACGGATGGTTTAAGGGAAGCTTGGGCCACATTCGTCAATCTCATGAAGGGGAACGGCGCCCACCCGGAAATGGGAAAGGAACTGAAGGGGATTCTGTTGGACGCGAGTTTCACCGATGTAACGTGTTCGGCCTCTTTCGACAGCTACGGGACCATCGAGGACCTAGCCTTCTATTACGCATTCATAATTGACTGGTTCTTTTCCGAGAGGGTCATACAAACCGTGACGGGGTTGGGAATTGCTACACAGGAAAAGTTCGATTTTTGGCGCAGTGAGCTTGACCATTGGCGTGACTCGCCAGGTGCCTTTGGGGGACTGGCTTTCGGAGAACACATTGCCCGAAAAGGGTAGGGTTACCATGAAGTTTTCAGAAAGGACGCGCAACAAGCCTGGTGGAACCAAGAAATTGCGGCCCCTCGCAAGAAAAGTCCGCGAGGCATAGTCACTGTCCCAGGTGACATTCGCCCTGCCGGCCACCCTATCTCACCAATTGGCCGGCATGGATATGTAAATGTACTCGTGGATTCGTGCCAAGGTAAAGCGGTGAACTCCCAAAAGGGGACAACGCAAACACATACAGGCAGCGAAACGGGAAGGGCTATCCATAAAGGTGGCTGCCCGGCCTGGGTTCGAACCAGGGCTTACAGCTCCAAAGGCTGACGTGCTACCACTACACCACCGGGCAATGAACGGAAAGGGCGTCGCCGCATGCAGTCGGCGTAGCCACATAGCTTTATTGCAGGGTAATATTCTGTACTCAGCCCTACCCATAGTCAAGAGCCCAGACCCCAATGATATAATGGCTCGGAAACGGACAAGCTAGAGTGGCTTGTGCTTCGACCCAACAAGCCTAACCATGATCTGGACATAGCCATGAAGAGAATTCGAGTCGGCCTGCTGCATCTGGCTCCGAAGACTAGCGACATTGCCGGCAACCGAGCCTTGGTTGAAAGAGGGACACGGGTTGCCGCAGAAGCTGGCGCATCCTGGATTGTTACGCCAGAGCTGTGTATTCCCGGCTACATGTTCATGAAGCAGATTGGCACCGACTGGATCCTCTCGCAACCAGATCACTGGATGCAGTCTTATTGCCAACTGGTGAAGCAACTGGGAGTGATGGCCTTCCTGTCTCACCCCGAGCGAGATCCAAACACGGACCAGCTTTTTAATACATCCTTCGTTATCAACCCGGTCGGCCAAATAATCGGCAAACATAGCAAGATCAAGGCTTTGAGGGGGGCTGAGGGCTGGTCAACGGCGGGAACCGAAATTCAGCCCATAGAATGCGACGACGTAAAAGTGGGAATTCTGATCTGCGCCGACGCATACAAGAACGAGGTGGCCAAGGCGTTAAAGGACAGAGGGGCCCAGATCTATGTTTCTCCGGTCTCATGGGGGCCGGGGCAATGCGCCCCAGACGGTGAGTGGGAACAGCGCTCCGCAGATAACGGAGTACCTATCATTGTCTGCAACCGCTCCGGGCAGGAGGACGAAGAGCTGGACTATCGCAAAGCCGAAAGCGTGGTGGCGAAAGACGGCAAACGGTTGCTGGAGGCAACTTCAGACCGATCGGTGGTTCTCACTTTCGATTGGGACCTGGAAGGCATGTCCTGCCTTTCGGACGACTTCTCCCGGATTTACCTTTAGCTCGAATTTTGAGCCAGGTATCGCTCCAGTATAAGCACGGCAGCAGCAGCATCCACATCGCCTTTTCTGCGGGAAGGTTGCATTCCTGTCTCCCTTAACTTTGCTTCCGCTTCGAAGGAAGTGAACCTCTCGTCCACGGCGTAAATCGGCAACTCCGTGCTTTTCCGCAACTCCCGGATAAAACCCTGTGCCAGCTTTGCCTGGGGGCCCACTTCTCCCGATAAAGAATACGGCATTCCCACCACTATTGCACCGGCCGCCCGATCTTTGGCTTCAGCCACCACCCGACTCACGTCCTCTCGCAGCCTTCCCCTTGTCAGGTAGCCTGCCGATACCACTGGCAGTCCCTCGTCTCCGCCAGCGGCCAAACCAATTCTCCGGTTGCCCAAGTCCAGTGACAAATAGCGCATGGACGCAGTCTATCCTCAGCCTCTTCCCTCAGACCGGACCAGTTCGGCCACCTGGCGCAAGGCGTCATCCAGCTTTTCTGCCTGGCGCCCTCCTGCTTGGGCCATTTCCGGTTGGCCTCCGCCTCCGCCACCCATAACACGGGCGGCGTCTCGAGCCAGATTGCCAGCATGAAGGCCCTTCTCCACCAGATCCCTGGTAACCATCGTGACCAGCAGAGGATTGCCATTCACCACTGCCCCGAGGCAAATGACAGCGCTGGGAAAACGAGTCTTGATGAAGTCGCCCATTTCCCGCATACCTTCTGCACCGTTTGCGGAAGTCCGGCCAGCAATCAGCTTTATCCCATCGATATCTTGTACACGCTCCACCAAAGTCTCGGCTTCCGTTCTCAGGTTTCCTCTTTCCAACGTTGCCAGCCGACGGCGAAGTTCCTCGGTATCCTGCAAGAAACTGTCCAGGCGTGACTCCAAGTCAACCACCGGGGTCTGAAGTCTCTGTGCTATCGACTCAAGCCGCGCAGCCTGTTCAACAAAAAGTTCCTCTGCGGCCCGCCCGGTAACGGCTTCGATACGCCGCATTCCACCGCCAATGCCGGATTCACCCAGTACGAAAAGGGTGCCGACCTGCCCGGTAGCCCCGACGTGGGTTCCCCCGCAAACCTCTACGCTGAAGGCTTCTCCATTGGACATTCGGACAACTCGGACCGTATCCCCGTAGCGATCTCCGAAGAAAGCCAGCGCTCCATCCCTGACGGCCTCTGCATAGGTACTTTCCTGCGTGGAAACTTCCAAATTCTCTCTTACTTTGCCATTGGCCAAATTCTGAACCAACATTTGTTCATCTGACTTGAGCGGCCCTACGTGACTGAAGTCAAAGCGAAAACGGTCCGACGACACCAGGGAACCGGCCTGCCGGACATGGGGCCCGAGGACCGTTCGCAAGGAGGCATGAAGCAAGTGGGTTCCGCTATGATTCCGAGCTGCATCCAACCTGCGGTCAACATCGACCTGCGCTACGACATGCTCCCCCAAAGAAATATCGCCAGTTTGTACCACGCCCTTGTGGACTATCAATCCGGCCACGGGACTCTGGGTATCTTCGACTCGAACTGTCCCGTTGGGCCCAGATATAATTCCCCGGTCCCCCACTTGGCCGCCACTCTCGGCGTAGAAGGGAGTTCCTTCCAACAGGACCTCCACTTCTTGACCTTTGGTGGCATGTCCCGCCGCTTCGTTGTTGACCAGAAGAGCGGCCACCTGGGTATCCTGCTCCAGTTCCTGGTATCCAACAAACTGGGTAGTTCCTATGCCAAGGTTTTCGTACGCGGTCAGTATTTCCATACCACCGGTGAATCCCTGCGAAGACCTGGACTGCTCTCTTTGGGCTCCCATCTCCCTTTCAAAGCCTTCGGAATCTACTTCAAGGCCATGCTCACGGGCAATCTCTGCGGTGAGTTCCGGGGGAAAGCCATAGGTATCGTAGAGCACAAAACATTCCCTGCCGGTTACGATTCCCGCCCACTTCGCCAATACATCAACAACTGGAGCTCCACCCAACGATTCTGGCGACAAGAGCTCGGCTAGAATTTCTCCGGAAAGTGCAGCGCCCATGTTTTCAGATTCGTTGGATCCCAGGTTATCGTACGGAAGTGCTGATCCCTTATCCGACGCAGCGACTATCTGCTCCTTTACAAATTGTGTCCTTTCCCGGTAGGCAACCATCCCTAGAAGTATGTCGTTGCCCCTCTCAAATGTGCGCCCGAATCGTTGTTCCTCGAGCCCTATGACCCTCAAAATAAACTCATGGTTCTCGGAAAGTTCTCGGTAAATTGTCCGGAACCGCTCCAATACCACCCCGGCCACATCGGTCAAAAAGGGCTGTTCCAGGCCTAGACGGCGACCGTACCTGATGGCCCGGCGGATCACCCGGCGCAGCACGTATCCGCGGCCCTCGTTGCCGGGCACAACCCCGTCACCAATAAGGAATGAGGCGGCACGGGCGTGTTCCGCCACTACTCTCAGCGCATAATCGGTGTCCCGGTCCTGGCCGTAAGCATTTCCGCTCAACTGGCAGGCCATATCTATAATCGGCTGAAAGAGATCGGTCTCGTAGACATTAGGTTTGTTTTGCAATACTGCGGCGGCTCTTTCCAGGCCCATGCCGGTATCGACGCTTGGAGCAGGAAGAGGAGTGCGGTTCCGTTCTGGGTCCTGGTAAAACTGCATAAAAACCAGGTTCCACATCTCCACAAACCGTTCGCAATCGCAGTTAGGGTGACAACCCGGAATGTCCTGGTCAGCGCCTGTCTCTCGCGCGCGACGAAATATTTCGGTCAACTGGAACGGGGGCACCATTGGGTTGCAACCCTTTTCCGCGCCGCCGTCATAGTGAATTTCGGAACAGGGACCTGTGGGCCCCTCTGTGCCAGCAGGGCCCCACCAGTTATCGCCATCCCCGTAGCGATATATGCGTTCCTCGGGCACACCAATATTGTTACGCCAGATCTGGTAGGCTTCGTCGTCGTCAAGGTGAATGGTCACGTAGAGCCGTTCTGGCGGCAATTCAAACAGGGTAGTAACCAGTTCCCAGGCAAAGGCTATTGCGTCGTTCTTGAAGTAGTCTCCGATGCTGAAGTTACCCAACATTTCAAAAAATGTCAGGTGCTTGTGATCCCCGACTTCGTCAATGTCAGTGGTCCTAAAGCTCTTCTGGGAACTCGTCATGCGGCGACTGGGAGGGGTTTGTTCACCCATGAAAAAAGGCTTGAAGGGCACCATCCCGGCGCTCGTAAAGAGCAGCGTGGGGTCACCCGCAGGTATCAGAGAAGCGCTGGGCATGTGAAGGTGGCCCTTGCCCTCGAAAAATTGAATATAAGAACTCCTGATCTCGTCACCGGTCATCAATGTGGTTCACCTGTTTCTTACGTTGAAATATGCTCAGAATCCCGATTTTGAATCTAACGCTGGTGCTCTGGATTGTATGTCAGGCCCCAATGAGCGTCAATTGCATGCACACGGCAACAGTAAAGGGTCACCTGTCCAGGAGTTCATTTAGACCCACGGTCGCCTCACTAAAACCAAGATATCCCTGGTTTACTGGCGGTTCAGTCGAATTGGGGATCACCTCTCAGGACGTTTCGAAGTCGGAGCCCACAAACCTTGACCATGCCAAATGCGCGCTCTACAATTTAATTGCGCTTTAACATAAGAACGAAGAGTTAAACTTTTGTGCGCTATAACCGGATTTTGGAGGTCCTAATGAATTCGAGCTTCATCGGGAAGATTGACAAGGCCAAGAAGTACGCCGAAGAAAAAGAAAGAGTCAGCATTAACAGTTTCCACGCTACATTTGAAGGCAATCACAACACCTATAACGTCAAGTTTGAATCTGGCGAGTGGAACTGTGAGTGCCTGTTCTTCACGACACGGGGCGTATGTAGTCACACTATGGCTTTGCAGAGGATTCTCGATGATGTCTTGGCCGACGATGAAAAGCCGGTAGAAGCCGTATAAGCACCTCCCTAACCAGGAGACGCTGGTCAATCCTCTTCTTTAGTTCAGTCAGTTACAGCAAAGTATCCGGGAGTCTGAGAACTCCCGGATACTTCTCTTTACCAGCTAACTTGGGCAGATCCTTCGTGTTTACCTGCCAAAATGGTGGCGACCCTCACCTGTTTCTTCACCCTTCAAATTTTCGAAATACCAGGCAGGCATTCTGACCGCCAAAGCCAAAAGCATTTGATAACACCACCCCAACATCCTTCTGCCTGAAAACATTTGGAACGTAGTCCAAATCGCACTCTGGGTCCGGGGTATCATAGTTGATGGTGGGATGGATCTTTCCAGAAGTTATGGTCTGAATACAGGCTGCCGCTTCCAGGGATCCGGACGCTCCCAGGGAATGGCCAATCATTGACTTGGTTGAGCTGATGGGGATCTGGTAGGCCTTGTCTCCAAAAAGCCGTTTAATCGCCAAGGTCTCGATAGCGTCATTCAATGGGGTGGAAGTACCGTGGGCGTTGATATAATCCACCTCGTCTGGGTCCACGCCGGCATCCTTGAGGGCCAATCCCATTGCCTGGGCGGCACTGCTACCTGTTTCTTCCGGCTGGACCAGATGGCCGGCATCGGCAGTGCATCCGAAACCTGCCAACTCAACCCGGATCTCGGCTCCTCTCGCAATTGCATGTTCCAACGCTTCCAGGACCAAGACTACCGAACCCTCTGAAGGAACAAACCCATCCCGGTCCGCATCAAAGGGACGGCTCGCCCTTTCCGGCGCTTCGTTGTTAGTGCTCAGTGCGCGCATCACGGCAAACCCCGACAAGCCCAACTGGCTTATTCCCGCTTCGGTGCCGCCTGCAAAAGCCACGTCCGCCTCCCCGTATTGAATCAACCTTAACGCCTCTCCTATGGCTTGATTGGAAGCGGCGCAAGCGGTAGTGGCGGTGGAATTGTACCCTTTGGCCCCCAGGTAGTGGCTCACATTTGCAGCCGCCATATTGGGAAGCACCATTGGAAAAAAGAAAGGTGACATTCTCATCCCGCCTTTTTCGGCCAGAATGCGACAATTTTCTTCCAGGGTGGGAAAACCCCCATTCCCATTTCCAAGAATTACCCCTACGCGGTATGGATTTTCCTTGTCTATCTTGAAGTTTGCCTCCTCGACCGCCCTCAGTCCAGCCGCTACAGCTAACTGGGAAAACCTGGCCATGCGACGCGCTTCACGATTGGGAATGTAGTCCGCGGGATTAAAATCGATAACTTCTCCCGCAATGCGGCACGGGTATCCCGTGGGATCACACAACGTCATAGGTCCGATACCCGACTTTCCGGCCACCAAATTGGCCCAAAAGGCGTCTACCGACATACCAAGCGGGGTGATTGCACCTACCCCTGTTATTACTACCCTTCTCTTATCCATTCTCGTCGTGCAAGACCAATGGTCAGATGGCTACAGTAAAAAAATACCGAACCGCAACACTTCAATCTTCATATAGCTTTAAATAATTCGCAACTTTTCGGCTGACAAACAGCATTGCCATCGGGAGTACAGCGTACGGGTGCTTATGATCTTCGAATAACAAGCAACTAGCGCAAGTCAGGCGGCAATAAATCGGGGTAAAGTTCCGGTTTTATGCCCAACACTGCTTCACGGACTTCTGCTGCCACGAACAGAGACCCCGTTCCCAGTATCAAGTCACCTGAACCAGCTTCCTGTTTGGCATACTCCAAAGCATCTGCAACGTTTTCAGCCTGCCTTACTTTTGCGATTCCGGCACCACGCATTATATCTGCAAGGGAAGGCACTGACATTGACCGTGGATGGCGGGAACGAGTGGCTATAACCACGTCAGCCTTTGAAGCCAATGCCTCTACCATGCCAGCTACACTCTTGTCCCGTGAGAAGCCGGCAATGGCCACCACCCTGCGACTGCCGAAATACCGCTTAAGTGTTGCCAGCATCTTCTCCATGGAGTAAACATTGTGTGCACCATCGGCCACTATTATCGGGTCCCTGGACAGAAGTTCGAGGCGACAAGGCCACCTTGCTTCGGAAATGCCCGCAGCAATGGAATCCCCACCTATGGTATGTCCCTGCTCGACCAAACACTCCAAAATTGCTATCGCAGTAGCGGCGTTTTCAAGTTGATATTCTCCCAAGAGTGGGACTCGCACCCGGTAACTGTCCAGCCGACCCCTTATGTTAACTGTCTGCCCGTTCATGTCCGCTTCTAGAAGTTCCCAGGTAATGTCCCTCCCAACCTCTACCAATGGTGCGCTTTTGTCACTACTTGTTTCTGCGATAACTTCCCGAGCTTCAGAACATTGAGGCGCCGCCACAACTGGAATGCCTCGTTTGATAATTCCGGACTTGTCGGCAGCTATCTCCTCAATTGTGTCACCCAGTACGGCCATGTGGTCCAGGCTTACCGATGTGATGGCACAAACTTGCGGTTCAACTACGTTTGTAGCATCCAACTTACCACCCAGACCCACTTCAATGACCTGAAAGTCCACCAAATTCGTGGCGAAGCACTGAAACGCCATCCCAGTCATGAACTCAAACAGCGTAACGGCCCCCTGTTCAGTATCCTCTTCCAACTTCGACGCCGCGGCAGACAATTGATTGACGAGAGCTGCAAAGACTTCTTCACTTACGGGACTGCCATTGTATCGGATGCGTTCACGGAAAGTGTGAAGATGCGGTGAGGAATAGAATCCGGTGCGGTAACGGGCGGCGCGCAAGACCGACTCTACCATCGCTGCCGTGCTGCCTTTTCCCTTGGTGCCGGCTATATGAACCGTATTGGCGCACAAATGGGGATTGCCCAGCGCCCGTAGCAGATCGGTTACACGCTGCAGATCGTAGATCCGCTTTTGTCGGGGCAGGGAAGGCGCCCGCCGCTCGTGGTCCACCAAGGCCAGCAGGTAATCTACTGCCTGTTGGTAGGTCACGATTTCCTCTACACGTGCCATGCTATTAATGATCCCTGATGTGGGGAGGCATACTGCCCAGGTTAATCTTCAACGCATCGCCCATGGTTATGTTATTCACGAAGCCGATATTACCTTCCAGAGGTCTTGGCGTAAACCCAAAAGTTTGTTCAACCATTCCCATCTCAGCCACGTTGCGAACACGCATCATCTTTAGCATTTCCGAATTTATCGGTGGACGGGCCATTAAGGCTTGCATGAAAGCCACACTAATCCGCATTGCCCACATTGGAACATGCAGGCGAAGCCTTCGCTTGTCCATCGCACGTGCAACAAGGCTAACGACCTGATTGTAGTTTAATTGTTCTGGGCCGCCCAATTCCAGGGTGTGGCCTTGCAGGTCGTGCCTGCTAAGCGACAGGGCAATGCATTGGGCAACGTCTTCAACCCATATCGGCTGCAAACGATTGCGCCCGCTGGCTATCACGGGCACCAAAGGAAACAACCTTACCAAAGCCGCAAGGGAGTTAAGAAACTCGTCCCCTTCGCCAAAAATTATGGAGGGACGAACAATGGTATAGGAAAGTCCGCTGTTAATGACCGCCTGTTCTCCTTGCCACTTGCTTTGAAGATAAGGAAATTCGGGGTTGTTGATGGCTCCTACTGCACTCACATGAACAAACTGTTCGACGCTTCCTGCAGCTTTAGCCGCGGCCACAACATCCTCTACACCGGCACGGTTAATACTGTCGAAAGTGGTGTTTCTCCCTTGGCGTATCACCGCCACCATATGGATGATTTGCTCTACACCATTGCAGGCGGTAGTCAGGGCTTCAACGTCGTTGATGTTTCCATAATAGACGTCCACTGAACCTTGGGGAAAGATCCGCTCTCCCCCGGGACTATGGACCAGGCAGCGCACTTGATAACTGTGGTCAATCAGTTTCTGTACCACTCGGCGCCCCAAGAACCCCGTAGGGCCAGTTACCAGCACCGTCATTTACTGCTCCACATGATTGAGGCTGCAGATACGTCACAATCAGCAGCACATCAACTGTCTTCTGTCTTCGCTTATTACTATTATTGTATTATAAAAACCCGTACACTTGCCGCGTAACCTGATGGATTTCCCCTCCACTTACCGCCCATGAGCTTTGGTGCTCCGACCAAAATTTCTTTGATAGGGACTTGCCAATGACAATGCCTGAGATCCACTTTGGCGCCAGCGCAGTGCTCGGAGCAGCCGAGATTGCGGCAGAAGCACGCTGGATGGAAGACCTGGGCTTCGAGTACCTGTCTGTGGGAGAGCACTTCATGCGTGGCAGTCCTCCCGGGCCCACCCATGCTTCATTACCTCTTTTGGGCGTAGCCGCAGGTGCTACTGAAAAGATTCGTCTCCTCACATCCATTCTCCTGGTTCCCTTCTACCACCCGCTGACCTTGGCCAGGATGACGGCTTCTCTGGATATAGCGTCCGGCGGTCGTCTAACCCTTGGCGTTGGAGTGGGGGGAGAATTTCCTATTGAATTTGAGGTGGCAGGATTGAACGTCAGGCAAAGAGGCCGGCGCACCGACGAATGTCTGGAAGCAGTCCGGCAGCTTTGGACGGATGAAAATGTAAATTTCGAGGGCAGGCACTACAGTTTTCAAGAAGCAGCTATCAATCCTCGCCCAACGCAACGCCCTCATCCCCCTGTATGGGTGGCGGGACGACGGGACGCCGCTATGAAACGTGCTGTCCGTTTTGGTGACGGCTGGTTTCCATACTTCTACAGCCCCGAACGTTACCGTGACAGCGTCGAAAAGATTACTGCCATGGCAGAGGACGCAAAAAGGGACCTGTCTGGGTTCCAGTGGGCTTACTTTCCATATATCTCCATTTATCCCACGGAGCAGGAAGCCGCCGAAGCCGCCGCAATTGCCCTGGGAGGGCGATACCTTTATGACGGCAATTTTCTGAATATCGTACGCAATTATTGTTTGCTAGGCACTCCAGATATGTGTGCCCAACGTTTGCAGGAGTACGTAGAAGCCGGGGCTAGACACATCATATTTAGCGTGGCCTGCCCGCGGGAGGAGCGAGTTCGCCACATAGAGGCCATAGTCCAGGAAATTATACCCAGATTAATCTGAAATCTGACTAAACAACGAGCAATTTGAGGACGGATTTCGCGAGGATTTCTGAAGGAAGCATAGCTGGGAAATCTCTATGGTGTATAATGTTGAAGTTAATTCCGAAATACGATAATATCGGAATGCTTAAGTAAATTATACTGGCTCAACGTCTGCTCTTTAGAGCATAGCAGACAAGGTGGAGAAATGGCTACAACAATGTCCAGAATCAAGCGGATTCTGATGATTCAGCCCGCGTCGGCTGGCGGAAATTTCGAGTATATGGCAATTCCAAGGCAGGGAATGCTGTTCTTGTCCACCGCTTTGGGCCAGTGGAAAGATGGGCCGTTCCAATACGAAAGGGAAATCTGGTTCGAAGACCGCAGCGGCCTGATGGACCCGGACAAAGACTTGGAAGGCGTGGATATCCTTATGGTGACGGCGCTGATTAACGAGGCGCCTCGTGCCTACCATCTGGCCAGCTTGGCCAAGATGTACCATCCTGAGTTGTTAACCATTGGCGGCGGACCGCAGATGAGCCCGCTGCCCGAAGAAGCTTTCGCCTTGGGAAACTTCGATGTTATTGTGCAACGAGAGGGGGAGGACATTATCGCCCCTCTTTGCGACCTATTGCTCACCCATCCCGTTGGAACTCGCGAAATGTACCTGGAAAAGGTACCCGGGGTCAGCTACCGGAAGGATGGACAAGTAATTCAGACGCGGCGCCAGGGATTGGTCGATCCTGCGTTCGCAGAGTTGCCGGATTATCGCTCCATTAAAGACCTTTCTCCCGAGCACCCTATGCCAGGGTGGAGTCCTGGAAACGGTAAGAGGATGCACTGAAAACTGCACTTATTGCCAGGTCATCCAGCAGTTCCTGGGTTACCGGATGATCTCCAGGGAAACGGAGATCAAGCGGCTTCAGCAGTTGCAGGAACTGGCTGATGAAGGACTGTTGCATACGTCACGCAACGGCAGGTTCAATGTTTTTATTTCAGACGACCTTCATACCCCTCCTCTTCGGGCGGTAAAGTTCCGCAACGAACGATTGGAGCGCCTCAAGAGCTGGAAGGGGCACACCGACAACATGTACATGATCTGCCAGGCCCGGGCCGAAGTAGGTCAAGACGAGGAGTTGGCAGCCGCAATGGCAGAAGCCAACATCCGAATGCTTTACTTGGGTGTCGAGTCAAACAATGCAGAAAATCTGCTGGCGGTTAACAAGCGCCAGGAGCCTGGTCAAATGGAAAAAGACCTCCGCACCTTGAAGGGTATGGACTTCTCCGTAGTGGCCATGACTATAATCGGGCTGCCTTTCGACCAGGAAGAAGACATTACGAACCTGGCCGACTGGGTAACTCAGTATAGCCGGTACCAGACCGCCAATCTGCTAACTCCGTTACCGGCAACATCCAACTGGACCGACCTGCAACCCCTGAACGAAAACGGTGATTTGCTTCAGGAAGGGGAGGTACGTCCTTACCACTTGTACACAGGCCGCCAGTTTGTCCACTACGACAAGCGATGGACTATGCAGGAAAGCCGTGAGCTGTTTGATAGCTACACGTCCAAGCTCACCTCAATAGATGACCTGTATGGCCGTATCTTCCGCATGCTCAGGTCTTACAGACTGCGGGTAGCTACTTCAGGTAACGAACTGGGCGACTCCATAAATTTGAGGATAACCGAAGCATCCGAGTATCTGAAAAATTGGTCCGACCCTGTTTCTGTGGCGGGCAAGGAGTTTGGCCAGAACATTTCACAACGCGTGGATGAGCTGGCGGAAACACTTCGAACTATGTCTCAACCTTTATCGAATGCTCGACGCGAGTTGGCAGATAACATCAATACTAAAGTCAATGAGCTAACGGACTCCTTGAAGAGCATGTCAGACCCGGTCAGCGTCAGTAGCAAAGATCTGGTCGACAACGTTTCGGTACGCATCAACGAGATTACAGAGATGGTAAACCGGGTGCTGGTCGAATCTTCCAGCAAGCGTCGATCCCTCAAAGAGTAACCAGGCTCTTATCCTCAGCCATCCTGAAAGTCCGGGCAGGCTTGTGAATATCAGGAAGTACGTATTCCCAGCCTGTCAGTTGTTATTTGGCACAGTTCATGTTGAATCAGCGGTATATGCATTCTCTCTGCAATTAGGCACACCCAAAATTTGAAACCCCGCTTTCAGGGACAATTCAACCTCAGAGACTGGGTTTAACCAGGGCCAAAGGCAAGATGAACGAATCCGGACACCGCGTATATGTAACGGGCTTGGGAATAATAAGCCCCTTGGGTTTGAATGTTCAGTCCACTTGGGCCGGGATCGTAGAGGGAAAGTCGGGGATCAGCTACATTACCGCCTTTGATACCGATGGATTTGACACAACGTTTGCCGCAGAGGTAAAGGGGTTCAGCCCGGAGGACTACCTCGAACGTAAAGAGAGCCGGCGGATGGACCGCTTCGCCCAATTCGCCGCCGTGGCCGCCCAGGAAGCCTGCCGCCATGCGGAATTGGACTTGGCTCAAGAAGATCCCTTTAATGTGGGTGCCATTATAGGTAGTGGTATCGGTGGCATCCTCACTCTTTCCACGCAATACGATATTCTACGGGACCGGGGACCTCGTCGGGTCACACCCTTCCTGATTCCAATGATGCTGAGCGATATGGCCTCGGCCCAAGTGTCCATGGTAACCGGTTCTATGGGTGCCAACTATTCGCTGCGTCGTTTCTTCGTGCTCCAGCGGTGCAGACGCTCTGGGACAGGGCTGGCAAATGATAAGAAGAGGCCAGGCTGAAGTAGTTCTCGCCGGCGGCAGCGAGGCACCAATAGTGCCAATCGCAGTCGCCGGTTTCAATTCCCTTCGAGCGCTTTCACGATTCAACGAGGATCCACCTCGCGCCAGCAGGCCGTTCAATCGGGCCCGAGACGGCTTCGTTATGGGTGAGGGTTCTGCAGTCCTGGTTCTGGAAAGCGAGAGCCACCTGCGAAAACGCGACGCTACACCGTTGGCTGAATTGAGAGGATACGGAGCCACCTCCGACGCTCACCATCTTACTGAGCCAAATCCTACCGGACAAAGCGCGGCAAATGCCATACGACTGGCACTGGAGGCAGCTGCGGTAGACGTAGCCGAGGTAGACTATCTGAACGCCCACGGCACTTCCACTCCCTTGAACGATTGGCAGGAGACCAAGGCTATCAAACTTGCAATGGGTGAAGAGGCCTACCGGGTTCCCATCAGCTCCACCAAGTCCATGACCGGGCACCTCCTGGGGGCCGGTGGCGCCTTGGAAGCCGCCATATGCGTCAAAGCAATACAGGGAGATATAATTCCCCCTACAATCAACCTGATAGATCCGGACCCTGAGTGCGACCTGGACTACACGCCGCTAACTGCTCGCAACCAAAAGGTCGATGTTGCCATGAGTAATTCGTTCGGATTCGGCGGACACAACTCAGTATTGGTCTTTACTGACCCGGCTTGGTCTGGCTGACGAGACAGACACGCTATGTTTCGTCGACCAAAGCCTGAGGAAATTGAAGAAACCCCGGTTTTTACAAAGGGTGAACGGTGGGGTGGCGCCTTTGCCCACGGAACACCTTTGCTACTTGGCATCCCCCTGGTTATCATTACCCCCCTGGTGGGGGGGAATCTGTTTATGGCGCTAGTGCCCTGCCCCATAGCCGCATACATCATTTCCAGGTCATTCAGGCGTCGCCAATTCGCATGGGGAGCCTTCCAGGCCATGCAGGCCGCAATAGTCCATCTGATTCTCCTGGTTCTGGTTTTCGCCGCCGTGCTTCTGGGAGAGGGCGCACCTGACCAAGTGGCATCCGTAATCTTCGTATTGACCTTCCTCCTGTTCCTGTACACTCTTTGGGGTGCCTGGGATACGGCTTGGGGGTACGATTTCCGCTACATTTTCGTCAGCAATTTGGTGGACCGGATTACCGACGCCAACATGAGAAGACAAGAACACCGCAGGCAGCTCCGAGATGCTCGGGACCGCGGTGGGCCACCAGATCCTCCGACAGCACCACCTCTCATCAGGTAATAAGACCTGCTGACATTTGCCAGTATCTCTCGATCCCCTAATGGATTAAGCTCCCAAATATGCCAGGCAGTTTAGCCTTCACAAGTGCCAGGCCTCCCTACCGTCATACGGAGCGAGGGAAGGAGAAAACTGGATGAAATGTTTATCTCCATTGGAAAGCATCTTTAAGGATCATGAAACAGTGGAAACTGAGTGACGTTGCCGCAAGAGAGCATGACCACACTTTTGCTGGAGATTTTCCCCAGGCAATAGTCAAGGTGTTGTTGGCCAGGGGCATAGAAACGGCAGAGCAATTCAGATTTTTTCTGCAGCCCCCTCACCGGCTTCCTTACAGTCCGCTACGCCTATGCGGAATGGAAATGGCTCTCCATCGACTTGTGCGAATGATACATGCGGAACCTGATAGAGTTGGGAGCCGTACAGTCGGGATCGTTGGAGATTTCGATGTGGACGGAATTACCGGCACTGCCATTCTCGTTGAAGGCTTGTCGGATTTTGGTTTAGAGACTGTACCTTACCTGCCGCACCGGTTTCCGAAGGCCCTGGTTTATCTAACGAATCTGTGCGGTATCTGGCAAACAGGGGAGGGGAGCTAATAATTACGGTGGACTGTGGGTTACTTCCATCGAAAGAAACGAGAAGTTGGCCCGAAGCCTTGGGATGATGTCATCATTACCGATCACCACACTCCGCCGCCGATCCTCCACAAGCGACTGCAATTATCAATCCGGGATGCCCGGCAATGAATACCCCTTCCCCACCTCTGTGGGGCCGGATTGGCTCTAAAGCTCGTCGAGGGACTCTATCAACTACAGGCCGCCCGCTGCAGCCAGCCTGCTGGAACTATCCGCTCTAGGTACCATTGCAGACATGGTTCCGCTGAAAGACGAGAATCGATATCTGGTAAAGGCAGGGCTCCACAATTAGCCTGACGACACGCCCGGGTCCCTTAGGGCAATTTACCGGTCGGCTTCCTGGAAGATAAAGCTATTACGAGGAGACCGTGGCGTTCCCAAATAGCGCTCGCCTCAATGCCGCCGGCGTATGGGCCACGCCCAATACAGCCTTCAGTTGCTTACCACTCAAGTGATTTGAGGCAGACATCCTGGCCGCCCAGTTGGAGCGGCAAAACAGGGAACGGACAAGATCTGACCCGAAAACTATTTGCGGAGACACACTCTCTTGTAGCCTCTCTCGACCCGTTGCCGCCCTTTATAATCGCCAAAACCCTGACAGTACCTCCGGTGTGGCGGTGGGTCTGCGTTGCCGGCCGCTTCTTTAAGCGAAATTTTCAACGGCCGCTGTCAGCGCTGGCCCTGTTGATGGAGGGAATTCCTCATTGGCAGTTCAGTGTCGTAGCATTCCGGCCTTTCAACTTGATTGAGGCCCTACTTAAGTAAACTCCTGCGCTGAACTGTTCATCCGCCACGGAGGACAAACAGGCAGCAGGCTTCACCATTCCCGGGAAAACGTCCAAGATTAATCCCCGACTAACTCGTTGCCCACGAACAATTGGAAGTGTGCCCCTCGAAGAAGCGCTGACGTGGGGATGCGGAGGCCAATTGAGTCTGAAGCTATGCAAGTGAAAGATATTGATTCGAACCTGCTGGACTTCCTTAGACACCTGGAGCCTTCGGAGTGGCCAATCCCAAGAAACATTTTCGTCACTCGCAATCTGAAGTGAGGCGAGAGTCGGAAGAGAGATCTCATGCGGGGCAACACCTGAAGCTACTGGTTGGAGACGACCACGAACAATTCCCGCGCTGGCCTCAACCGCGCCTGCTGAGTGGGTCAGAATCAACGGAAAGGGTTCGATCTGGCCATACATCAGCATAGATACTTGGAGAGGGCAAAGAGACAATTAACTTGATGCTGGCAGACTTGGGGCTCGCAAAGTGACTCGATTTTGTACCAATCGCCAATGAAGCTCGGCTATTGGGCGCTGGCCTCACGCCTTCTCCAGGGAAGGAAAGTTCTGCCATGCCGAATTCTATGAAGAAGGGCTCGAAGTCCAGGAAGTAGTCTGCCCTGAAGTTGGTGTGGTGTGGCGGGATAGATGAAGAGTTAGCGCACGTCAAGTTGTCATAGGGGGGGACAACTGAAAATCTGGTCGCTAATGCGTTGGAATGCTTTCCCAGTATCATTGATTTCATCAACAACCAGCACACGATGGTGCCCTTCCAGCGTGTCAGTAGAACATCGTTGTAATGAGTAGATGGACGCTCAAAATGGTGGCAAACATGGGTTGCTGGCACCAAGCCTCCCCGAACAACGGCAACTATCGCATCGGGCCTCCAACCATCCGGAGTCGACTCGATCAGGTCACAGAGCGCCTCCACTCCCGGCAGATTTCGTCATAGCTCACTTGACGGATCACCTGACCTGCCAAGCCGGTTGTCGACCTCCTGCAGAATCCGCTATTTGACATCCACGATTGCCCCACTTTTATCAGCTGATGCCTGTTTTGGCGACCGCTGGCTTTGTTTTTTACTCTCCCGAGCGCGGCGGGTACCGTACAAAATTGAGCCTTATATACGAGCAAGGGCACAAGGCCACGGCGATGGCAATTACACCAAGGAAACTAATTGAGCTTCGTTGAGCGCACCACCAAAATAGGTGTTGACTCGATACGGCCAGGAAGCTGATATATAAAGAAACGACCAATAGAGTAGAGGGCCCCGTACAGGACAAAAGTCATGCCGCTAGGGCGAAGGGCGGACGGTTTCTCAAAGGCCAATTATGGCAAGGAAAGAATCACCAGATCCATGATCAGTTCGTAGGCCACTGCCGGGTGGCTGGCACCGGACGGTTAAGCTCCCGGACTGTAATGTGAGAGGTAAACGACCCCCAGGGAAGGTCAGTGTGGAACAGGCCACAGATGCTCCCCGGTGATATGTTCGCCCAGACGACCGATAGCCATAGCGATCAGCAGCGCCGCGGCGCGGCAATATCGGCCAGGGGACCCACACTGCGGTAGGAGCCTTTTCCGGCTACACCTGCCAACACGAAAGTACTTCCCCACAAGCTCAAGAACCATCTGAGTTCCGATATTAATATAGGCCGCTCGATACGAACCCTCCTAAGATGCGCCCCAAGATAGCTATGCCGGCTTGCCACACCATGAGAGTCCTGGCCGGATCAGCAGAATACAAACTCCTCTCAAAAGTCGATGACGTGCGAGAACCCGGGCCCCCACTATCCGCCGATAATACACCACCCACGGAAACTGCTAATATATTGCGTCTCCGTCCATCCCTCTTTACGGCCCCACGCGAAACGGCCAAGATACAGCGGTTGGTTTGCTACAGCTACACAAACGTAACGAAACCATGCCAGGACAAGAGGAGGAAGGCCCGATATCAATAATGTATGGATTAAAGGAATGTGCTAGCGCCAACACACAAAGTAATCATTCGTTAGTTCTCACCACAGGAAAAGAAGAAAATACATGAGTGTTCGTACTTTCTGAAAAAAAGCCACTGGGGAGGGAGGGGGGGGGGTCTGGGGAGGGGGGGGGGGGGGGGGGGGGGGGGGGGGTTTTTGGGGCGTGTGGTTTCCGGGGGGTTTGTGTGGGGTTTTTTTTTTTTTTTTTTTTTTTTTTTTTCTTTCTTCTCGGGGGGCGGGGGGGGGGGGGGGGGTTTGGGGGGGGCTTGGGTTTCTCGGGGGAGTTCTATTGCGCCCCAAAGTCGTACAAAATACGCCTTTGCACCGTGGGGTTGCGAGGCGTCCGATTACCCGGGCATGTTCCTCCTGCGACGACAGGACATTAAGGACAGGGCAGGGCCAGCCCCGGTCTTCAAGTGAGGGCGTCGTCCAGTCGCAGCTTCGGACCGCATCAAAACTTCCTGAAGACCGTTTATTATGAAAACTCCTCAAAGCCACGGACTCAAACAGCGTTATGAACCAGCTACGTCGGAAAATAATCATATTTGAGAGAGACAGACATCAGGTCTCTGTCTGCACCAGCCACCGCGTTAATCCGCCGTCGCTGATGATGGGAAAAAACGGGGTCAATCGACTATCTATAAACTATACAACCGGGCCGTCTGGCTCCAACCTGATCCTGGGCACACCAAGTGTCAATCCGATTACCGGGCTTCGTTGTAGCGGTTCAACAGCATTCCACTCTTCCACTGGCAGCGACAACGCACCCCACGCCGCGCCAGCCCAACGGAAGACGAGGGAACATTCTTTTCAGTAACCCAGTCCCAGCGGCGACATTCTACCAAGGATGGCCAAGGGCAACGTCCAATTCCCAAAATTCGGTTCGTCTCGTTATTTTTAAGCGCCAGCCAGAACTCCAGAATACGCACCAGCCGCGTCACTGCTACCACCGCCCCAAACACCCATACCCACTGGACATGTGTTTCTGATAGTTTCTAGATACAGTAGAAGCATGCCTGCCGTTCTGGCGAGATCAGCAGCAGCGCGCCAAGCAG